TGCATGTCCTGAAATAGAAGCCATAATTCTTTTCCTTGTTTCTTAGCATCTTCGATAATACTACTTAGTATGTATATTAGTTTGGATGTTGAATCCCCAGGTAGGTCTGTGAAGTTTGGTCCTTTAAGAACTGAGTTTCTTGTCTTAATTTCTGATAGACGAGTTGCAAGAATCTTCATTACACACTTGCAAAAAGTTTTTAACAGTGCAATTGGTCTTAAGAAGTTTAATATACTATCTCATTCAGATGATTTCGATATAGGATAAATTTGGCTACACTTCCATTTGTTTAGGATTTTACCAGTTTTTAAACAAAAGGATCCAAATTTTCTAAAAATTTTATGTGTAGCATTGTTTGTCTTTTTAATTAAAATGTAACCAATTCCTGTAATGCCTGGTGCTGTATTGTTCTTGAGCTTGTTAAGCATTTTTTGGCATTCTTCTTTTGAAATATCTTTTTCTAAGTTTATATACCAGGTATCATTTATACTTGATTGTAGTTAATAGATCTTTATTCACTCCTCCGATAGGAGATTCAACTTTGAATAGCTGTTATTGTATTGGCTCTGAAAGAAGGCATTGGTTTTAGATAAAACATCTTTTGGGTTCATATATAACAACAGTTCGCTGATATACCAAATTAGGATATCGAGTTCTAGAATGATCTATGTGCTGATTCTTATATTTGATTGGCTCTCATATTCGTCATACTCACCTTTTTCAGTATTAGCAAAAAATTTTTTTATACTAATTATCATTATTTGAAACTTTTTAAATAAGTTATATAAAACGTCAAGTTTCAATAATCCCATTTAATCCCTCATGGTAAACCTTCTTCAGCTAAGTAAATGAGGCTTTAAAAATCAATACTTGTACCAAAGAAATGAATTGTAATAACATTACTTTAATTTAATAAGCGAAAGGCTAGTTTTTTTTTTATTTCAGATAGTAGGTATATAAGTGTTGTTAATACAGATCTTAATATCTTTAGAATGGTTATTCTATGATATATATTTACAAACATATATAGCACATTTATGGACTTTGGCATTGTATAGTAATAAACTTGGATCTGGAGATTAGATTGAAATCAGCATAGTGTCTGTCATGTGATTCTGACAGTGCAATATAGTGGACAAGTAGAAATAATAATAATGACGACTGTACAAAAGTATTTCAACTTAGAGCCTTCGCAAATAAAGATATAGTTTTATTTGCAAATGAGATAATATTATAAAAATTTGCAAAGGTAAATTTGGATTTATATAAAAAGCAACGGGCTTGATGATATGTAAAAAGTTGATGATGATGATTATAATTATGTGAGAGTATATGAACTATCTATTGTTATACTCAAGTTGTTGGACAGAACTAAGAAAAACAATACGACTTTTTAAACAAAGTAAGTTAATTTATTAATTCAGTTCCTAACAAGCATATATATAAAATAATTTTTTTATAATAACTTTGCTGACATTATCATTTTCTAGTATCTACTATTACTTATATTTTTTATTTAGTCAACTTAGTTAACAATTATTATTTATAAGTCAAGATATAAAGTTTATTAATCGAAGTGCAGAAGTATTTAAAGTAAGCATATTTAGTTTTTTTTATTTACGCTAATAACTAGTAGATAAATATACTGACCATTTTACAATTAAGGTATTTAAAATAGGTGATTCATTTCTTATTTAATTTGTGTTAATTTAATAAATAGGTATAAGTTATAACGGCATTAAAATATACTTGTGTTTTAATCTGGTATACTTCTAGTCTAGTATTAATGCAATATTATGCGCTTTATTTTGAGTTTACTAATTTATTTGAAGTTATATATTTTATTTAGTGTTTAAAAAATTAATTCGGCATCTAGATTAATAAATATAAGTTACCCGATTATATAAATTTTTATTATTGTTTATGTTAATTTTTAGTTCATGCATAGTTAATAAATAAACTAAATAAATAAATATATGCTTATTCACCGATAATGCGAAGACCAATGTATTATTTTAAATTATTTTTGTTTGATTTTTTTGTATAGTATATTGTATATTTTCAATTCCAGAATTCGTATCATATTACAGTGTAACCAAATTCTAGAATCTTCTGATCGACATTTCTATACCAGAAAAGAAGTAATCTACATTGTTCTAATTTGGTATATTGGCGGACTGAACTAAAAATTATTGTCTATTTTCTCTATAACTCTATTTAGTTTGGCTTTTGAGTATGGCTTATTTAGTATACTTTTGAGCATCTTTCCTTGTTTGTCATGAATTATTAGGCATCAACAGTCTGTAAACTTTTTGATTTTCTTCTTTTTATGCTTCTCTAATATTGCCGCCCATTTTTTATTCAACAAATAGAGCCATCTTTTAATATCTTGTACCTATTTTTCTATTGCCATCTCTTCATCTAATATTATATTTGTTTCATGTCTATGATTTATCTTGTAAAGTAAAGATTTGATTTCTTGTAATCTTCTAAGTAAGACCACAGTAGTAGCTTTTTGATTTTTATTTTTCTTGCTAATCTTTTAAATTTTTAACAAATTTTGCTTATACTAATAGTGTCTTCATAAAGAGGTGTCATTGTTCTTTTTGTTTTCTGTGTTGTACCTTTTGATAAATTTGGTATCTTCTTTTATGGAATATTTAATTTAGCTGCATATAGTATTTTTTGTTCAAAAAACATTCATATATTATTGATATCTTGTTGGAAGATTTCATCAATATTTTTGTTAAGTGTATATATTGAAGTTGAGCATTTACTAAGGAAGAAATACAATAAGGCTCTATAGTCTTCCCAGTTCTCATTCATGACTTTGTCATATAAAAACTTTAAGCATGAGCCTTTAGCTTGATTAGATCTCTAAGTATTATCTAACATAATCATTTCACCCTTTAGGCTTATTAGCACTGTGTTGTGATCACTTTCTGTTATGAGCTCCATGTCCACAATCTTTGCTTTATATAGATTTGGGGTTAAATCTTTGAAAATCTATATTTGGTTAATCCATGTGGCTGTGCTACTATTTGACTATATGTATGCTTAAGAGTTTGAATTCAGATATCTAAAAGTATCTATGAATTTTTGCTTTAACAACCATGTATATAGAGGAAGTCTTTTATATACTGCTATACTGCTAGGACTGTACTTATTTAGATCTGGTGTTAAAACATAATTGAAGTCTTCCATAATTAATATTTCAAAACACTTGGCTTTGTCCTAGTAAATATTAAGAACTTGCTGTTGTATCAACTTTGTTTGTACTTGATTGTTTGGTGAGAGATATACAATAAATATATCTAGTTTTAGAGACTTTAAAATTATATGGAATTCTAGCAGGTACTCACTATATCTTTTGAAATTACTGACATACTTATAGATCTTTTTGCTGATTAGCACACTATTCCAAAACCTTTTTTCTTGTTGGGGCTCGAGTTTGACTAGTAACTTTTGTATAGGCTATTTAGCGAAAGAATATAATTGCCCTCTCCCTGTGTGATATTCGTCTCTATTATTCCTATGATGTTAATTGCTTTCTCTATTGCCCAGTTTGTCAAATATAAGAGCTTTTGGTTATTTAATTTTAGTCCGTTGATGTTATAGCATGCTAGTTTTAATTCTATTTTTAATCCTAATTCTGATTCACAGCCGTTATTATTTATCTTAAGTGATATACATCCTAACAAGCTATCTTGCTCATTTAATTTCAGTAGTACAACTGGGGTGCTCTTAGGAGAAATTGGAGGCTAGCCCCCACTGTCTTTCTTCTATTTTTTGCAATCTATTTAAAATTTGTTCCAAAATATTGTCTTGTGAACTATTTACAGGTGCATGAACCTTTCTTGACTCTTTAGAATCTCTACTATATGATCTAGTCATTTTGTGGACATTTCCATCTTGGCTTAATTCCATTGCTTGCCCATTTTGATTTCCTCACTTTTCTCCAATTTCAATTCTATTTGACTTAGTTGCAATTACATTTTTAATATTTCTAAGAGGCTTTCTACTTCTATTTAAAAATCTAGGGTTAATAATATATCTGCTTAGCTTACTGTTGTCTGTCCACACAGGGTTGAAATTCTATTCTCTTTTGATTGATTTGTGTATACCCTTTTGGTTGGGTTCCTTTCTTTCAGAATTTTCAAATCTGTTGCTACTCTTTTCCCTTTATTTATGCTTTTAATCTCTTTCTTATAGTGGAATATGCTAACAGGTGTGTTTTTCCAAAATAGATTTTCTAAACAGGTGTGCTACTTAAGTTTAAAATTGAAGTAGTAAGGAGTGCAGCTTTGTGCTAGAATGAGGTCTTTCTCTAATTTGAAATATACTTGAGCTACTTTTCTTTGATTTCTGTTGTTATTGCTAAGAATGTGGACTGCTTGAACCTTATATCTTTTAAGTTGGTACAGAAGAAGACTATCCTGGGCTGTGGTTGGTAAATTAGTAATTAAGCATTTATGCTTGTTTCTTGACTCTAATTCTGTAATATCAAAAATACCTGGTGTTGTTCGATATATTTTGCCTAATTCTAATTGAGTCGACCAACTCTCCTTTACAGATTTTCCTTTAAATTTTAACTTAAATAATAACTTCATATAAGCTGCCCTCGTTTTAAAATTATTTTGCTATTCTATAACTGTTGCTATATCATGGTGATTCAAATATGCTACAATTACTGGGCTATCTATTTCTTTTAGTAAATCCCAAATTATAAAGTCAAATGTAGAGGAATTATTAGGTTCCTGATGTGTAATTTTACTTTCTGGTACCCAAGCAGAATTGTAGATGTCTTTGTGTTGTTTGGATTTTTTATTGCTTGTAGTTCCTATATCTATTTGGGATTCCTCTTTGATATGATCATCAAGACCATAATTCAATATGCCATATTCATTTTGTACTAAGGCATCTTTGACTAAATTTGAGTAATTTTCCTGTGTATTTAGATCTAATATTTGATCTGTGTGATTGCGCTTATGGGGATTGCCTTAAGGTTCTAATTTGATATTGCTAATAGTGTTGATAATTTCTGCAGTTAGAGCTGCCTGTGTAATTTTTATGGGAGTCAAATTAATTCTATTTTTGTTAGATGTTAAAAAGTCCTTTACATCTGTTTCAATTTCTATTTTGGTTGATTTGGGTGTAGTGGTCAGTTGCCTAATTACACCTTCTATATGAGATAGTTTAGTATTGATATTTGTACTACTTCTTTGAGGTTGCTTTTTGTCTATGTTATCTATTTGCATCATAGTGAGACTCATATAATCTAGAAGAATTTTTTTTTTATTTGATAAGCCTTGTTCTCTTGCTAATTTATATTTTGCAAAATCATAATGTTGTAAAGTATTGCAAATAATTGCAATCAAGTAAGTTTCATTAGTGCCAAGATACTTTGCCAGTTTTCTATTCTGTTCAAAAGTGAAAGTTTCCTACTCTTCTTTTACTAAAATTCTTTCAGCATCAGACTTATTAAAGAAATTTTTGTATATAGTAAGCTTAGATATTATTATTATACTATTTAGTTGTATTTGTTCTAATTTCGAATGTTCTAGAAAGATATTGATTAGTAGCTATTTATTCGCATCTTTGTTTGTTTTGTTTTGTTGTTTGTTTGTATATACTGCTTATGTAATTGTTGTATTGCCTAAAACAGATGTGTTTGTTTGTTTACTCATTTGAGATCTGCAAAACAAGATTGATAGTAAATCTCCCAAAAAATAAAAGAATTTTTTCCAAAATTTAAAATTTCTAAAGCGCAAGTCCAAACAGATCCTTGTGTACAATATTGTTTTATGAGGCTCTAGTTATTTTTCTTCTCTCTATTATTTTTCTTAGTACTGTAAAGGTTGATAACTTAGTACTATTTTGCCTTAGGCCTAATTTTCTTTTTTGCCAAATTTGGTTTTAGTAATCAACAGGAAGAGTGTATATATTCCTTTGCTTAAATAAAGATTGCTTTTCTAGGTATTTTTATTATGTTAAATATATATTTACATCTGGAATTGTATAGATATATAATACAACTAACTATTTATATATAGCAAGACTAAGGCTATAGTTAACTATTTATATTTGGTAACTACTTTATGCAATAATTCAAAGTATTCTAGTATTACAATTTACCTCTGATCTAATATCTGTTGGCAAAGTAAGCAATCTACCAGATTAGGGTTTTGTGTCCCACATACAACAACCTTTTTGCAGTTGCCAAAGCTTTTACTTGCAATTTGTTGTCATACTTCAAGTCTGTCATATAACATTCTGGGTCTTTACCCCACAGTGTAGGACTCTATAAATCTGCAGTTTCTTGTCATATAACTCTATTGATCACTTCTTGCTCTTATCTGGTTTACAACAATCTCAGTATCCACATATGAACCATCTTCTTACCTGGATTCTCTATCAGTTCCTCTTTTACTTCTTAGCTGACAAACCGGAAGGGTCTGTCTGCCCAGGCTTTAGATGCCTTATAGTTACCCTCCTCTTGGTCCATACTTTTAAAGCATATGAGGGTGAGTCAATAGAAAAGAGACAAATTTTTTCTAAGTAAAAATTTTCTTGTCTTTAAGCTTAAATACCTTGGCAATTATTTTATTAAATTTAATAAAAACTTTTTTATTTTAATTTTTTATAATTTTAAGATTAAAATAAAAATTTTTTAGCAAATTTGATTAAATAGTTGTTGAGATATTTTAATTTAAAAATTAAAAAAATTTCACTAAAAATAATTTGTCTTTTTTCTATTAATTCTCCCCATATGCCTTTTCTTCTAGAGTAACAGAACTCAGCAGTTTGGCTAGTGTGTCCTCCGCCATTAGGATCTGATCGCTCAGCTCTCTGATTTGGGCCCCAGTGTTACTCTCAAAATCATTCTGCATTCTGTTTATTTATTATTTATTATTTTGTTATTTTATTATTATTTTTATTATATATATTATATTTTTTTTACATCAGGAAGTTTGAAAAGCATTTGAAAACTATTAACTAATGCTAGTTATTATTTAACACTAAAAGAAGTAG